TGGAGGTTAATTCCTTCTCCACCTTGGCAAACATAAATTCAAGCATCAAATAAAAGAGGGTATTGAATAGGAATAAATAATTTATTTACATATATACAAGACTGGTAACTTCTATTTGTTGCTGTTGCTAATAGAGAGTGGTTAAATTAGAAGCAAAATGGACAATTGGTAGTGGTGGTGGTTGTCATCGGTGGCCTCTCTCTCTTGGCATGTTGGTGTTGACATCAAATGCTGATCTGTGTTGTGTTTCTCTTTCAGTGTGTCAGTGTTGACATTAAATGCTGGTTTGTGTCATATCTGTTTGAATTTGGGTATATATAGTTTTTAGTCTGTTTGAAATTAAAGTTTTGGTTTTTTGAGTGGGTGTGGGACTAGTTATAACATATTATTAATTTTCTTTTGGTTAAAGAAGTTGTATGCACAGAAAATGTACTCATGCAGTCTGCTTTGGGTCATTGAGTGGTCAATATCTGGTTTATGTAGAAAATGTAGGAGGCACAAAACTGGCAATAAACAATAATGGTCCTTTCATGTTTCAATTGTTTCTATTGGACAGCACCTTTTATATTCCACCACACGTAAAGCAAGGACTTCTATATACAGAGTTCTGGTTTTGGTGTCTGCACTACTTTCTCATTTTGTGATAACCACTGTCTTTTTTCAGTTTCTGTTGAAATGCAAAACCCATTTTTCATCACCTGTAACAATGCAAAACAGAAAATGAATGGTTGGTATTCCTGTTTAAATAAAGGACTGCTGCAGTGAAAGTTCATGAGGAATCTAAACCTGCCACCTACAATAGCTCTAAAAACACTGAATAAATCTCCAATGAACAAATACATCATTAAAAAAAATGAAGAGAAAATATTACTCAATATTGTTTACATTAGGACTTTATTATTGTGACAACATTTTTGCACATTGTGTTGTCTGAATTTCATTAGGTGCTTGTCAATCCAGACAAACTTCAGGGAACTTTGAACTGAATCCTTTATTTAATCTATGGGGGTAGATGTTTTTTGCTTCACTGTCCATGTCTCAAGATATCTCATCTTGTTCAGTATTGCTCAGTTATTGCTTGTTCTCTTTTCACTAAATCTAAGTCTGCACACCCTGTCAAAAAGATTGAATGCAGAATTACTAAATCGTCAAATTCATAAACCAATACTTTAATTCCCTTGGCTACTGTTCCATGGGACACTCATGAATCTAGAACTAGTAACTGTTGCTATACAGAAATGTTGTGTTAAATACAACAAACATAATGACAATCAATTAAAAAATATATGAAAGAATTTACATCCTTATTTTTATAGAAACTCTTTTTGAGCCAATGCACAAGTTAAACAAGTATTATGCTACACAGTCAAAATCAAGATGTTTCTGGCATCTGTGGAATAGAATGCTGAAAACTTCCTTTTTGAAGGAGATAAGAAAAACTTGATAATGATATCCAACCAATACACTTTGTAGTGAATTTGTCTATATTTTTGGAGAACAACAAGAATAACCACACTCCTTGTTTTAAAAGATGAATCAATTCCTGTGCTGAGTTACTTTTGTTCGAATTTATTGACCATAAGATAGTCCACCATTACTAGCTTCATTTACACATGGTTTCTTTTCACTCAACTTGGTGATATAAGATAGTCCAGTATGAATAGTTCTTGAAGTTGGTACGAATCCCAAACTGTTCTGCGATACTCTATTGGAGAAGTGATATACTAGCCATTCAATTTCTCTTTTTTATGTCAGTCTTGGCTGATAGTGGAAGTGTCATGCTCTTTCAAGTTAAAAGTTTTGAGTTATCTCCCTTCATTACTTTTATTTTACTGAGTTATCTCCCTTTATATTTAATTCACTTTTTTCCTTTTTTAAAAATCATTTTGCATTAAGCAATGTGATAAAGCCACTCATTACAAAGGGTTACTAAGAAAACGTTGCCGAGGAGAAAGGACAAAATAAAAGAAGTGGTTTCAGAGAGATACGATATGACAATTGACGATGCATTTAAATTTTTGAAGATTATATTTGACAGGAAAGCAAAAAACTGGAAGAGATTTCTACAGGTGAGAAGTGTGAGAGAAGAAACTATTAGAATAGAATTTACAGTTGCATCTAGCAATTTCAACAATAAGCTGATAGACCTAGCTTCCAATCTAGTACTACACTTGTCATTTTTTATTAAATTTTTGGCAATATTTAACCTTCATGTCTGCAAAAAAAGGTGTATCAAAAGGACAATTATTTCCTTAACACCACTTTTACTGCACACACTTAACTCCTTCGACAATGTTTATTTACAAGATTATACAAATATGTGAACCAAGTACAATGCAATATTTATTATTTACCTTTTATAAAAAAAGAAATTTGAAAATAATTTTTTTTTATTCAAAAATTTATAAAAATTACAAAATTATCAAAATATGTAAACCAACTACAATGCAATATCTATTTACTATTTTATAAATAACTATGAAAACTATTTTAGTGCATTTATGCAATGAAAGCAAGTGAAATAAATTCTTGTGAAATGCATTCTTTCAAAAATTTATAATTAAAGGTATTCGTCATTATGTGTTTATTTAAATTTTCTTGTTCACAGATATTTTTTTAAATTTATGAACAAAAAATCTTTTCATGTTTATTTCTTTATAAAATGGTAAATAATAATAAATATTTCATTATAGTTGGTTTGCATATTTTTATAATCTTATAAATATAAAATTATTTCTGTAAATAAGTAATCTAATATATAAATAGTGTTTAATATTTAATATCTTTGTTAATTCTCAAGAATAAAGAAAATGTATAAATCCACTTTCATGTGTTTGGGTTTGATTAAAATTCTAATTATTGATTTTAAATATTGCTGAGGGAGTGGAAGGAGTTAACAGTAATAGCAGTGTGAAGCAAATAACCGTTGTTTTTTTTTTTTGGTCACAAAGGTTAGTTTTTTTTAATTTGATATATGCTTTACAGCCTGTACCATCTAATTAAGTTTTCTTGAATATACAGAGTGTTAGACAAAGTAAATATTGTTTAAAAGAAAACGGAGCATCTACTCATATGTGAATATCCACTAAAAATAACATGAAATAAAAATATGTTGGATAAAAAAATAAAATCCATTAATTCTTTATATATATATATATATATATATATATATATATATATAGTGCCAGGCTAAACAGTGGCTCCCTCTGCCCTGAGGGATGTAGATTTGATTACTGCCAAAGGGCACAAATTTTTCTTTAATAAGATTTCTTGAATATTCAGGCCAGTAGATGAAAAATAAATAAAAATACTGTTTAATGAATAAACAGTGTGCCTACTCAAATACAAGTATTCACTAAAAATAACGTTTAAAGTGATACATACATATATATATGATTATAAAATTTGTCACATAGCTGATTGATGTTATATTCAACACCTAAACTCTAGAGTTTCATAGATTAACTTTTGTAATTGTTCAGTCCACTCTTCAGGAGGTTTCAGCAATATATATATATATATATATATATATATATACACACACACACACACATATGTGTGTATGTATGTATATATATATATATATATATACTTGTACCCTGTGAGAACTCCAGTTCTTTAACTCATACACAGTTTTCATTGCATTTGCCTCTGAGCCACTGAATAACTCAGCCATGAAGGCATATATGCTGACTTGGCTAGTATTAATGACTGACCCCACAGCAGTGATACCAAGGCACTTCTCCCAACAGTGATGCTTTCAGACCAGTGACAAAAGTCGTAGCAGTAGAGACTATTCAGATATTGCATAAAATAATGAGAAAATATATCTTAATAAAAGCAACTATCACATGATTTAGAAAAATTATATTCAATTTACAAATACCTTATTTTGTAAAAATACCAATTTATATCGGAACTGAAATTCTCAAGCATTATTTGTAACACCTATTTAAGCTTTGGAGTAGTTCTTCGTCTGGGTTCAACTGAAGAATACTAACAAAATTAATCCCACTTAGGTTCAGCTGGGGACTATCAAAATAGAAGGAAACTTTTCATAAATATGGAATGTGTTATATAGTAACTGGAACTTACTTTTTCACTAATGTCTTTATTTTTGTTGTTATCATGTTTCAGTTGTTGCACAACTTCTTCAGGAGTTAGTTGGTCTAGGTAACCTTCAGGGAACTTCAAACTGAACCCTTTATTTAATCTACAGGAGTAAATTGTAAATAAATATTGTCCATTACAAACAGTATTGCTTTTGATTAAAAAAAAAAATTATTGATAATATTTATGATGTAATATTTAACATTCATAGATGATGTAATACTTAAAACCCATAATAAGAAAAAAATTGGATAACAGTAAATAAGTTTGAGTTACTGGTTTTAACTAATTTTAAATTTATGCAAATGCTTAAAAAATGGTTTAAAACCAAAGAATTAAAAAATAATTTTCAAATAACTGAATTTTATGACAAGAATTCATTAATATTCTATTTTTATTTCAAATAGAAAACACATTATTAATCAAAAATTATTTTTACAATTAATGTATCTTTTGGCGACATTTTTAATTTAAACTTTTCACAATTATTCTATTTCTCAATTCAGAAATAAACTTGTAAAATTTTATCAACTAAATAATTACTAAAATAAAAAAGTATTTGTTTGAAAAATACAAGCAGTAAGTAAAACTGATATATAATGATTTTAAACAAAAAATGTACAAAATATCCGGAAAATTTCGGCAATTTTTAAAGATTTTTAAATTTAAATTGTGTAAAAATATGAAATCTTACAGCTAAGTTCTACAACTTTTAAAAAAAGCACTCGGTCTTCTTTTCAAAATCTTTATGACGTTTAAACTAGATGCTTTCCAGTAAAGCAAACCTGAGCACATAAATCTATGACGTCATCATAATAGAACGCAAGCGCGCCGCCATTTCTAACACATTGTAATTAATGTAGCCTGGATTTTTTTGTCGACAAACATCAATGATCGGTGAGTTTTGGGGGGTTTACTTTTCTCTGTCTGCATCCTTATTTACATACTTAATGTCTCTAGTTACTTTTACCTTGGCTGCTATGTGTTTGAAACTTTGTTCTTTTATTCTTTTTCTACTTTTATATTGGCTCTCGTTTATTTTGATATAATACCAGATGAAGGAAGGCATGATTGACCTATTTTTCATGTTACGGAATCCCAATCGATCTAAAATGTCAAAATGAGCCACACGGCTCATTCGCGAAATTAATGTAAACATTTACGAATTATTGATATGTGTATATATATATATATATATATATAAAATATGAATTTTTAAATGAAGTATTTGAAAAGTAAAAACAGTCAGTTTATTAGTATATTTCACAACCAAAACAATTGCTTGAAACTCATCATAAGTGACAAGTCAGTTTGTTTATTTTTGTTGTTGTTGTTATAAGTCATGCTTTACTAACTTTGAATTTGAATAATCATCTCAAGAATTAAATCTTAACATGGAAAGAACTTTTACAGTTTATCCAAATTTTTTATGTTTTTTTTTTATTCCTCCATCATTTTTTTCATCTATTTTATGAATATAATTATTATATAATAATAATTGAATTCAGGCCTCCTCCTTACTTTAAATAAGAGATTTCTGCGGTTTGTTACCCTTCAAAATCTTTATGGTCTCATATTTAATGTAACCTATATTAAAAAAAATATAGCACATAATATTTCATATGTTGTCCGACTGATCATCCGTAGTATGAAAAGATGGCATGTCAGTTCGGTAGCTTTCTTCATATCAGTTCAGCCATTGGCAGTTTCCTGAACACAAACTGTATTATTGTCCAATAGATTTCTGTTAGAAAGTCCGAACGGACACGTGCCCAGTGTCACTGTTTCCCGTTGCTAGGTGTCGGGGAACAATTTCAGGCATGGGTTGAATGTTTCAGAGAATCTATTTTTTTTAAAAATGTTCTTTTACAAATGAAGAAAAATGTGCGAAGTGTCGTTAGACGACGATGAACAGGAACTACTTGAGTCACTCTTCTTGGGCGATCGAAGAAAAAAACAGAACGATTTGTTGTTTCTGTTGCAAAATTGGCGCTGTTATAAACAATTTTGGGAAACCGTTTTTAGTTTACTTCCTCCCCCCCAACAAATTTGACTAAAAATAATACTTTAGAAATTTGTGCCATTTTCAATAGAAGCACGCGTGGCCTGATATACGCCATTGCATAAAATACTACATTTTTAAATTTTTATAAATAAAATCTACTTTTCCTATTCACTGGGAGAGAATTACAATTTATTTACTTTATTTCAATGGACAATAAATTCGTTTTCATTGTTAGATTAAATGCGATTCTATTAAAATTTAGTATCAATATCATTACTTTCTGGTTTTGTTGAATATAACTTTTTTTTACGACATGAAATACTTTTTTTAACCATGTATATCTGTGTACTGTAACAAAACAAAACTTAGTATTTTTTTTTTTTACTCTTTCAGATTAAAAAAAAAAAACTTTCATGTTAAAATTCTGTTATAAATCTTTGTTTCATGCAATAATAATAAATAAAAATAAAAAAAAACAGTTTTAATTCTAACAACTTTATAGCCGTGAAAAAAAATATCAAAATTTTGTTACGCGGATTACGCAAGAAACGGAGATCATATCCTACAATACATTTATGTCCACTTCTTTTTCTTTGAATTTCTAACACCTACATAACTCCTGAACAAATTAAAAGTTATTTTTTTTTTCTTCAAAGAAAATGTTTTTCTGTTGATCCGAAACTACAAATATACGTAAATAAAAGAATAGTAATTAAAAAATGTAGCTGAAGCTTTTAGTTTCATAACTCAAATGAAAAAAAAGCTTCAGTTACATTTTTTAATTATTATGATTCCATGATCCTTAAATCATTTAAGGATCATGGAATCATTTTGTTGGTATAAGGATGTAAAAAGCAGTCCCTTTTTAAACCGTACGTTAATTACCAAAAAATATCTATTTACTAATTAATAATTTTAACAAAGAAATATGATTAATAAAAATACTAAAATTATTCATAGCAAAACTCTTGGAAATCATATTTCCCGCAAATCAAAGCGGTTTGTGTTGTCTTTTTGTAAATGTTTTTACAAAACAGGCAACGTAGAATTTCTTGATCTACAAAAAAACTTAACGATTTCTTGAAACAGAAGTTTGTTTCTCTTTTTTGTCTTTTTAATCTGTAGCAATGAAGCCATTAAACATCACTGATGCACCCATGCCTATCTTTGCTAATTTGTCTAATGAAAAAACCATTTTTAAATATTCATAATCTTTCTAATTGAAACAATCACCCCTTCGAAATAACAAATCCAAAAATGAAAATAAAAGGCTGAGTTCAGCAAGCCACTTTGCTACAGTACATAATGAAACCAGTCAAGTATTGTTTTTTGGACAGTTTTTACAATAGAATATCTATTGATTTTTATGTCAGTAATTCAGATATTAGTACACAAAATTTAGTGAATTGCTTAGAGTTTTTATACATGCACAACATTGTCTATTTTAGCTAAAAAGAAAGGTATTTTATCTTAATTATGTAAGTACATACTGTAAAGAATGTAATACTTACATATATACCTTTTGGGGTGCTGTATGGTTGGACATTTATAAGAATTTCTGTACACTCTTGACATAATAAATTATTCATGATCTTTTTAATATACCCAGGCATGATATGATAACCAACAATTTATTTGGTATGTCGTTATAAAAAAGGGTTTAGGATTTTATGAAAATGATGTTATAATTTGCAGTGGTTTTTGCAAACCAATATTTACTGAACTCCAACTCATTTGACTAATTCTAGCTAGACATTACATTTTTTATTATCAGCAACTATTATAAAATCATCACTAGTATTGTGAACATAAACTTTAAAATGTAAATCAATAAATTATAAGACATTAGTACTTCAGCATTTGTATGATAAACAGTAGCTTCTCTTGACACTATAGTTAAAAGAATATTTGTAAGGTTTATTTAAATATTTGTGTTGACAGAAATGTAAGTTGAAATGAATGTCTTAAAACAACTTCAAATATTGTTGAAAGATAGAATATAAGTAAACACTTAAAAATCCCAGAATTATTTAGATATAAGTAAAGGAGTATAATATTCAATAATATATTAATAATTATGAGGTATTAAACCTGTTCATAAAAACAGAATAATGAAATTTAAATCATAAGTTCTGAAAAAATTAATTTAAAACAATATTGTTAAATTATTTTCCTTTTCATAGTTATAAATATTTAGCTTTTCACTATCTTTTTTGTTGCTTTTTATCACAACATATTTTAACTAATCAATCTTTTGGCCACTAAATAGAAAATCTGGAATAAAGAATTAGCTTTGGATGAGAGTTGAACTAAAACCCTTTACTTCAAGAGCTCACCAAAACCATGTATTAGGTTTAGTCATGTTTAAATTTTTTTTTTTATTAACTTTATTCTTTAAAAGATAAAGTACAATTATCTTTTATTCAATTAATGTTATTTGCAAAGACTTGTTGCCGCTTATTAGGCAGCTCTCTGATACCTATTGAAGATATTTTTGGCAGGTTTTGATATGAAAAAGTTTTTGACAAACTCCTATATTTGGTTTTCATTAGAGGAAGTTTTACCCATCAAAACATTTTGTAGCAATCAAAACAGGTAATAATCAGCAGGTGTAAAGTCAGGTAAATATGGCAGGTTGGGAAAAACAGACCAACCAAGTTCAAAAATGTTTTCCTGTCTTATTCTTACTGTAGGTAACCTTAGATTGTCATGGAAAAGAAAAACATTTTTCCTGTTGATGAATGCAGGGCACTTTTGACCCATTTTTTATCGACCGGTTGCAGTTGTTGGATGTATAAATGTGTGTCTAGTGATTCATTACATTTTAAGCCACATACACAACATTGCTTTTATTCCACTGAGCTCAGCTTTTCAAATTGGCTATGGAGATTTATCCTTGTAAATCCACTGAACATTGTTGTAAACCAGTGTTCATCATCTGTTATGGTATATAGTCAGTTAGAATGATATATTTGTCATAATTGGTTCCCAGAACTGAAAATTACTTATGACTCAACCTAATATTGACATTCCATCACTAATTAAAGAGTTGATAAAATTTAGTAATAGAGAGAAGATATCTTGAATTAAAATCTTAATTTAAAAACAGCTAATGTTATGGTTTCTTATTGGGTCCTTTGTCTCTCATATTTCTTGTTGCTATAACTGTTGGTTACATGACACAGCTACTTTCAGTTTTAAATGTTTTTTGTTTACATGTTAGATCTTATTCAATATTAAACATGTCATCTATTTATGGTGATTTTGTAGTTATGTTTATACAAAACTATTTCCAAATTGTTTTAAATAACTTTTTTGGATGTTGACATTTTATCATTTTATGAATTATTAGAAAAGTTTTATAAATGAAATCTGCAAAAAGAAAGTAAACACTTTCCACTTGTAAACAGCAATTGTTTCTATCTATTAAGGATTTATTTTCATTGCATTAGAAATAAATTATAATACAAATGAGAACATTAGTATTCAAAAAATAAAAAAAAAACGTATTTTTATTTCCAATGTTCTGATCTTATAAATTTTGTTTTGTTTTTTTTACCTAAAAGTTTAAACAAAGAAAAATGTCAGGTCTAAATTTTTATCATTTACTACTTTTGGTTTCTTATATCATTTTGAAGTGAATATGAATTTAAAAAACTTCCAATGCAAACTGTTAAAACTTCATATTTGTTTGCCCATCATGTGACAATTGTCATCATGTCAGTTGTTTCCTTATTGCAAGTTTATTGTTCTTCATTGCAATTTTGTCTCAATAGATTAAGCTAAGAATATCTGTTGTAAATAATGCATCTTATATTTGTTAGCTAAAACATGAATATATTTTTACATGCTAAGCAAGTGAAACTTAATTTTCTTGAGAAAACATTTTTGTATTAAGTAAATTTTAATTTATACAATATAAAGTTAGCTTAAATAATATTTACTTTCAATTGTTTAAGTTTTTTAAGGTTGGATTTATAGCAAAATCCACTGATCCTGGTATGAACTAAAACCACAACCACTCTGTTTATATCATTTTACAAGTAATTGTTTAAACATTATTTACATTATTCGGACTATTGTCCTCATCTTTGTCGCCATATTTATCACAACGTTTCGGCCGTTGTATGCTCAGGCCTTCTTCAGGTGGTTGGAATTTTGAACTGAACCCTTTATTTCGCTCACTGGGGTAGACTGTTCCATATGCCATGTTTGATGGATGTCAGTTATCAGTTATCTCCTGCTAATTTCCCTCTGAAAATTCCTTAACCGGATATTGAACTCACACTCTTTTGGTCCTGTCACTGGATCTAACCAACGCCTTTATCCATGTGTCCTTGAGGACATCTGGGTATGAATTTCTGGGTATTATAAATCTAATGTCTTCAGCAACCATTTTTACCAGTGCTCATATTGCAAAGAAGAAGGCCGGAGCGTACAACGGCCGAAACGTTGTGATAAATATGGCGACAAAGATTAGGACAATAGTCCAAATAATGTACATAATACCTCATCTCGGAAATATAGACAGACTCTAATTGTTTAAAGTTGTTCATTATTTTATATGCATTCTTCAATGTGCCTAATTCATTGATTTCGGGCTTTTCTTCTCTTTAGGTTGATTGCTGGATCTCACTGTTGAATAACTTAAAATAATGATGAAATTTCTTAAAATTTCATAAAAATAAAATATCTATTTAAACATGAATCTAAAATATCTGGATAATTCCTGCTATCAATTAAATCAGGTGATTTGAGTTTGTTTAATTTTTGTGTTTATGTTCTGTGCAAATACAGTTGCATATAAAGCAACCAAATTATAATTCATTTTCAATTCTGAGATTATTTTCCCAATAATCACCAACTTGTATGAAAAGGAAAGTATGTAAATGTTTCCATATTTTTTTTCTTTTGTCTGTGAACAGCTATGGCTGAGGGTGAGACCTATACAGTGTATGATTCAGATACACACCAACCATTGACTGTCACTGTAAATGCAGAAGATGCACATAATAGCATTCAGTATATTACCTCTGATGGAACAACAGTTACTGGGCTTGCTCAGGCACAAGCAGCAGAAATTGTTCATGTAAGTTGTCCTATTCATCTTTCAAAATGTTCTTTCTTTGATTTTAACTTTACACTTTTCTCAGAAATTAGCAAAAGGCATTATCTGAACAGATCTTATAGGAACATGATCATATGAGGCAACACATTTACCCATTAATAATTTACTTTTGAAAATTGTGAAGTTTCTAGATCCTTTTTTTTTTCTTTTTTTTACTGCTCTGGAACAAATTGGTTTATATTTTATAAATTGTTCCTATATTAAATATATTTCTGCTTTTAAAGTTCCAAAGTATATGAAGCAAGCATAACTATTGGATTCACTTTTCAACACTGAAATGAAATTTATATCATTGTTATACCAGCTATCAACTTTCTTGATACTCATTATTCCCATTCAAACTATACATCCTCATTAAATAAACTGTTCTAGTAAAGGTCATGGGAGGTAACTATGAGGATGAGATTTAAAGAAACCTACAGAGACAGTGGGGGACTTCTTAAAAGATTCAGTGATAATATTTAGATAATTCTCAAGAAAGTGTTATTGAAAATCCACAAGAATTACTACAAAATTTTATACAATATTTGCAACAAGTAACCACCACTATCCAATAGTGGAAAAGGCAGTAAAACAACAGTGGAATACAACAAAGTGTGTGTGTGATAAAAATGTAGTTTTAAGGTATACTGTATTTATGAGTAAAAGTGTTCAATATCATTGATAGAGTGGATATAAATATAAAAGTGGACGCTGAGGTCAACACCGAGCGACAACAATTTGTTTCATGTTTAAATGCAATCTTCAGGCCTGAAGTATTTTTTTCTGTAAGTTCTGTCTTCATAATTAATCTTTCACTAGTATTTCTTCATCTTATTTCTGTTGAATGGTAATTGTATTGCCTGTTGGAAACCTTCAAATCTTATTGACTGATTCTTGTAAGAATGATAGCAAAAGTACACAAGTTACAAAGAGAATAATCTTGTTCACTCTATTTTTGTTTGTTCAAAAGATGATAGTCAAGTTACATTAACTTTCTTAAATCAAAATAACGGTTTTAAAGTTTGATATCAGAAATTATCTAAGCAATGTAATTAATTTTTTTTGTCTGCTATTGCATAAATACAAAGATTGATGCATAAATCTGTGTAGCAATTCCCTTATTACATATTTTCCATGAGAGTCTTTTATGGATCAGTTTTTAAATTTATCATTAAAGATCTCCATATCCATATACATATATATATATATATATATATATATATATATATATATATATATATATGTCTCTCTTTCATGTTCATTATATACCTTTCTATTCAAGCTAATATACTTATCTTGGTTGTTGTACATGCCAGTTTTCTTCAGATGGTTGTCATACTGAGTGACCCATTATGTTCTACCTGGCTTAGGAACTGAACTCACAACTGCCATTTCCTAGATTATCCAATATGTCACGGATGCCATAGTACCTTCAAAGAAATGTTAGCCACCACCCTGTCTGGAAATTTAATTTTTCATACATCTATACTAAAATATTTGGAGGCTATTTTAATAAAACACCACCTGTATTTTTACTTGATTTAATTTTCACATCCATTATTCCTGTATTATGGAGATGAATCATGCAGCTGGTGTACTTGGGACAGCAATTATGCTCGTGCCCAGGTGGGGTACTAAGTAAAGCACTGGACCCATGAGTGGCGTAAGTTTAGTTTTGAAATTTCAGTAAGTACCCAGGTACTAAAATAGTGGCACCATATTTTAACAGAAATTAAAAATGAAATGAACAATACAGGCCGTGTCTCGCTTTGCTTCACCATTACAGTGGGTAAAATGTCATTATTTTCTGGCTGTTTCTATTGGATGCAAATACAGGTATTCAGAACACTTCTTGAAATTGCTTAAAATATACAGTTTTACCTCCCACAGTGTGGTGCTTGCTATGGTGTCACTTTCCCTTTCATCCAGTTCCACCCACTTTTTTATTTGATTCTTTATTTTTTGTGATTGGCAAACAATTAAAAACATGGAAAATTTTGATATTTTAATACACCTACACCAAAATACTTCCAAAATATTAACAGAAATCACCATAATGCTGAATCCCAGTAATGCCTTGGTCTTTACTACTGATCTCCCCCTTTCATACAGTGGTATTTGACTAAGTAACCATATACCAATTTTCTGGTATCCACTTAAATTTTATCATTATGGCCAAATTCTTAGATCAGAAGATACACTTCAAAAGTATGTAGCAGGATGCCAGATTAGTGGATCCTTTTCTTTTCCCCATACTATAATGCTTGCTATAGTGTCACTTTTCCTTTTGTCCAGTGTCACTTGCACACGAAAAACCTTGCCTTTTTTATTTGATTGTTTACATTGAATTTATTCCTTTTATTTTGGTTGACAAACAACAAAAGTTAAAACTATGGAAAATTTTGGTATTTTAGTAAACAAGTATGAAAATACTTCAGTACTAAATGTTGTAACATCTTGAATTTTGGTACACCTCCTAACCCCCAACAGGTTAGGTAATTCATAAAAATTATATACCCAGGTTTATTGGAGGTGGGGATGGTGGTAGTACTCCTAAGCATAGAAAGCAGAATAAGAACAATCTGAAGGGGTGGAATAAAGGGCTTGGTTTAAAATTTTGAGGTCACAAAGTGCAACAGGTACTTTAAAAAAATCTATATAATTATATACCATATTGTTTTGACAAACAACTTGTATTTTACAAAATATAATTGCTTTATGTCTTAAAATCATTAATTTACACAAGTAATGATTAAATCACAATCCCTTAAGTTCTGCAGAATTAAACTTTTATGGATATGCATGTGGTGTAATGGATAACTGCTTGGAATGAGAAATCAAAGAGCCAATTTCAAATTCCAGTCAGATTCCTTACATTCACTTATGTGCAAATACCTTTGATAAAGGTACGAATACATCTCTTCCCCCAGCTATGGGTTAAATAGTAGGACATATATCTGGAAAAATGATTGTTATTCTCAAAATATTGTTAATGCAATATTTATTCACAAAAATTAATTATTCATACAATCCAAAATATATTTCAGGAAGAGTTGGTAAGCTGTAAAAATACAAATCAATCAATTGAATATTTATAACAAAAGCATTACTGGAATATCTTTTTTTTTTTTTTTTTTTTTAATTTTTTTTTTTGTCTTGTTGGTGGAGGCTTGAATGCATTCATTGCAGAAGTGCAAGACCCCCACCACACACACACACACCTCTACTTGCGAAGACACTATCCACTAAGTAATGCTTATAGACTCAAATAAAATGAAAATCCTGATTTCAACATTAAATAACCTAATAAGAATTGATATGTCATTAACTCCACCATCCCAACCCTGATCTTTCAGGGTTTGTTAACAAGCCTTCTGTTTCTATAACAAGGTTAAAATTATTTAGACAATAAATGCAGGGTGTCTCAAAAAACGTATACACACTTTTACAATGTATAGCTCAAGTCAAGTTGCTTTCTTTTCAGATTTACTTGTTAATATTACTAATATCATTCAGGTTTAGCTTTGAACATAGAAAATTAATCCTGAAATGCTACTGGAAGTACAAAAATGCAGTTGAAGTTCAAAAGTGGTATCAAAGGGCGTTTCATTCAGATCCGCCCACACAGCTTAACATCACAAATTAGAGATAAGTTTGAAGCTGATGGTATTGTACATGATGTGCACAAGAACCATTCCAGAAGATTACAGATATCAACAAGCCATCAGAGTTATCAGTGTGAATAATGGAACAAGAAAAGGGAATGAAAAGTTTTCATAGAAGTTCAAGAAACTTATTGAAATGTTTGATTGCTGCTTGTGATTCTGCTGCATCCCATTGTCAGCAATGTCTGGATCATAACGGATATCAATTTAAAAACATGCGATGAAAAAAAATCTTAAGACCATGCATTTATAATTAATACTGTCTTCATATGCATTATTTAAATTACATATAGTTGCTTGAATTATTTCTTGAGAAAGCTTCAAAATGTGTACACATTTTTTTTTGAGACACCTTGTATTAAGAGGTATGTGTGTGTCATAACTGTTATCAGTGTGGACAATGGAACTTGTAGGCAGAGTTCAAATTCCAGCTAAGGTTGTGTACACTTTGAACAAATGACCTATGGAAAGGTATTGATCCATCTCTTTTTCTGTCCAGTTTTGAGTAAAATAATAGGTCAGACTGTTCTCTCTAGCCTTGGTAGGAGCAACAAACCCCTTACCAGCATATCACATGCCAGCATGTTAGGGTAAGGCCTATCACTACCCATGTCTTACTTGCAACAGTTTTATTAGAATGTCAGTATTTATCAGCATTTACACAAATGTTGATTCTTATAAAACGGACAAAAAACACTTATTTTTTCTTTTGTTACACATTTTTTTCATAGCATTTTTGTTCTTCCAGGTAAGTGAATCTCAGAATACAGTCTACACAACCCTTTCCAATTCCACATTTGTGACTACACCCGCCTCTTCACAGACATCCACAATCAACGCCAATGCAGTGCCTTTAGTAGTGCAGTCAAGCAATGGTGTCCAGGTACAAAATGTCCAAGTGCAACCAGCACTTGTGCAACAGCAACAACAAAGTGCCAATGTTATCCAAACACAATCAGTGGTCCAGAACAATGTTTCAAATGTGGCTGGATCAGCTATACCCCAAATGCTTTTTCTCAATCAGGTGAACATTAATGGACAAACCTCATTTGTGTTAGTTGATGCCAACAACAAACCTGTTCAGTTGCCTCAAGGTAAATATACAACTTTCTTTCTCTCTCTCCTTTGCTTTTAAATTATTTTTTTCCGTTCATTCACATCTTGAGAATAAATTTATCACAAATGCATCTGACACAAACCTTACTGAATGAGGCATTGCTTAAGAAATAAATACCATCATCTTTGTAGAACACCATTGTCTGGAAACTCTCTGAAAGTTTATCTAATCAACAACAATTTATTTTGCTGAATTAGTAACTTAGTGACTGATTCTTGTTGTACCATGGAAGAAAAAGTGTCAGGTAATTATAAATCCTGAATATATTTTTATTCATTTTTATATAATAGAAATTGGAATAGGTTTCAATGGAGTTCAAATTTTTTAAATGACACACATTGTCAATTCTGAATTATTTTTTAGTTGTTTCTATCATTTTAATTTTTATTTTGGTTTTTTTTTATTATTATTACAACTTTTATTAAGCAGTGTAGATAATAATAAATAAGTAAAAATGTCCTGCAATGAAACTTGAATTTATGCCCCATATACTTGAGAGAGCCTGTCTTTCTGTAGAATCTGCCTTACCAATTAGGCTGTGAAAGCTAGCAATTCACAGTCATCCAGATCTAATGTAACTCTATTCCTTATTTCTCTGAACACATGTATGCTACCATATTTGTTTTCATTAAACTGATAGTATTTGAATTGTATTAACACTTTCACTCCGACACTGTTATAGTATTGTTGCCTGGCTGTGTTGGCCCAGAAAATTGCCATGGCCATCACCATTTTGGTTTCAGTCAGATAATCTGTAGTACAGACTAAGTTAAACTATACTCCCAACACACAATATAATAAAAACCCATCACAAAACAGGTCATATTGTTCTCTTCTATATGTTGCCAATGGTTTGGAAAGTGCTGGTGTTATAAACACAAATGCTAGGGAGTCGCATTTCACTGTCTCTAAAATGTATGTTATAAAGTTTATATAATGCTCATAGTTCTGGTTAATAATACTGTAAGGAAACATTGGAACAAAAGTTGAGTAAAGACCAAGTTTAATCAAATGAGAAACCTGGATTAATAATATAGTAATAGAGAATACCATAGTTCAGTGTTGCAATATGTATGACTCAAATACTATGCTTTGCAACCCCCTTTGAGTAGACATTCTATTAATAGTGGATGGACAAGTCCATGTTTGACAATTAGTGTAGAGAAGGTCAGTCGTCTTTCTACACAACAGTATATATTTGTCAACAGCAGGCAATGTAAGTGTTATAAAGATGTATAAGTACGTCCACATCAGCAGAAACTTTAATAGTAAATAAAGCAAATTGTTCTTTTGGAAGTGTTACCTGTCTTTTATCAAAATTGTAATTCTATGACAATGCAACGGTAGTAATGTTATACCTTTTCCACAGATGAACCAAAATTATGCCAAATGAAGATCTTCAATTGTCCAAGATTAAAGATAATGTCGTATACATGTAATTCATGTTTATAGAGCTTTCCTTTGTTTATATAAATGTGTGTACAGACGGGAATATCTTTTTGCCTTTCTTCCAGTGTTTGTTTTTTTCTTTGTTGATAATCTACAATTTTTGAATTTTGTTTCATCTCTTAAAATTTAGTGTATTTCCAACTATATGAGACACACCAGTGTAAAATGCCGCTATAGTTTGGCAAAGAATATTTAAGAAAACAGCTAATAATATACAAATGACGAGTCATCCAGGCTTAAATATCAGCCTTTTTAGCATTATTTTGATTTGTAAGCCTCATTTAACCCTTTATAATCACATTTCATGTCCAGTACTTTAAGATGTTGTGTGATCTTTTTTGTTTTTGCTTTAAAAAGTGCACATAACATAGTAGCAAAAACAATATATACTTGTGTATATACTGATTTATTTAAAACAAAATTGATTGATTGATGTTTCAGGTATTCAAGTGATTAATCTTCCCCCACAACAAGTTGGAGGTCAGCAGCTTCCTATGGTAAATGTAGGTGTAATTCTGTTGTTTTTATTTTTGCAATTAATAGATTATTTAAAAATAGTTATTTGATGCTTAAAGATGCATTTATAGAAACAAATACTGAATTTGTGCTAGCTCTCTGTCAATTTGTTTTGAAAATATATTTATTTGGATATCACCTTTTTTGTTAAATGAATCTGTTCAAGATAAGAAATTATTGAAACATTTTGTGTACATGCTACTTAAAATTATGAATCTATAATTATTTGTATCTGAGTAATATATCTGCAAGAATTTCTTTTATCTACAACATTTTAAATTGTTAAAAATGCTGCATATGACTGGGATAGAAGCTTTGATATTTACACATTTGTTAATCTCTATCTCACTGAAAATAAAAAGTTTTGCAATGAGCAAAAATCAATTTGTTGTCCATCACTAAAACAATGTTCTATTGCATTAGCTGTTACTTCATAAAACTATTTTCAACATCCCCTCATGCATCTATTATATATTCTAAATATTTCTTATACTGGGTATAAATTTGTTAGGATAATAAATAAGAACTCAAAAGAATTAAATTTCTGAAACATTTTTTAATTAACTCAAATGTTTGTGCAAATAAATGTAGTGATTTTTATATCTGAGTGCTTTTATTTGCTCAGGTTTTACTATCTTTTAGTGACTTTTATTTTTGTTTGAATGTTACAGCCTGGAGAGACTGGAGAAGAACCTTTGTATGTAAATGCCAAACAGTATCATCGAATCTTGAAACGACGTCAAGCTCGAGCCAAATTAGAGGCTCTTGGAAAAATTCCTAAAGAAAGACGAGTAAGAAAACATTGATAAACATTGATCTTTTATAATGGGCCTATCACTTTATTTATATATATATATAATGTGTGTGTGTTAGGTAATTGAATAACAAAGTGGGAAAAATTCTATATACAATATATATCCCTCTTCCCCCTACATATGTAATTCTGTCAATAAGAACATTAGTTTGATAAAGACCTTTTAGAGAACAAAACACGTTTAACAGAATTTTTTCTACTTGTCCTTCAATTAACTAATAATTTATATACTGTTATATAATAATAATCAGTAGCTCAATCTCTAACTTACTTCCTTTGGTTGTTTGTAAATATATCTGTTGTATTATTTGTGCTCGCATAATGATATGGGATACTTTTTCTTCAGATAGACTAGAGAGTTTCACGTGGTTGAAAAGAAGATGGATAATGTTACATATAGACAGATTTGGGAACTTGAAGTTAGCAGAATGTTAGACTTATCATCAGAACATCAATCATCAAAAGAATGGTTTCAGAATAATATTATTAGAATTATAGAATGGTTCAATCAGACACCTAACTTGAATACAATGGAGAATTTGAGTCTAAGATCATGCTGATCTAAGAGTCATTTGTTAGGGAAGAATGAACTGAAAACACTGAAATCTGCAGAACCTTTGTAGCATCATATCCTGTGAAATTGAAAACTGCCATTACATTATACAACCAAATATGGAATCATTTTTATGAATGCATCAGATATCCTTTGGTCTGATTTTTGATCATGTTTCATTTTTCTTTTATTTCTGTATTTGTTACATTAATATTTAAACTGTACAAGGGTGTGTGTGAATATATGTTTCTTTGTATCAGTTATTTTTGCACTTACTATAGAGTAAGAGGAATTAACTCACAAAATAAATTTAAATTTAAGATAGCTTAAAACTGAGAACATTTAGAAATAGACTGGTAAGGAGGTGAATAAATGTCTCTTTTTACATACATTTGTATTATATTAGTTGTGAATGAGGACGTTAACATTATAAATATCTTAAAAATATTTCATTTGAATTTAAGAATCTTGAGTAATTTACTCAACAGATGCTTAGCTTATTTGTAGGAAAGGAACTGGCTCAATTAGTGAATTTTATCTCTATCTTCTCTCTCTCTCTCTCTCTCTCTATATATATATATATATATATATATATATATATATAGAGAGAGAGAGAGAAAATTAATATAAGTAAAAGATTTGTCACTTAGCTGATTGATGTTAGCTTCAGCATCCTGAGTTTCGGAGATGAAGTCTCTAGGAATTACTCTGTCCAGTGGGTATCAGCAATTTATATATTCAGATATTTATTTACATCTGGACTATTATCTTGATCCTTGTTGTCCTCTGGCCTTTTTCTGATTTCTGTCAATCTGGGATAACCTACTAACCAACAGGACAACAGTGTAGTGGATTAAAGTGTTAGTTCATGAATTTGGTGGTATAGTAATTGTGAGTTCAATCCCTGGGACAGGTAGTACAGATTTAAAATCAGTGGAAAGTGGGTGATTAATAACTAAACTGTATAAAAAAAAAAAAGAACAAGATGAGATATCCATAGACAGTAGAATAAGAATAATTTACCCCTATATATTAAAGTGTTCAGTTCAAAATTTCTTGGAGGTTACCCAGATTGATCTGAAAAATAGCAATGGTCACAAGACTGACATTAGTCTGAATGTAAGTAATGATCATCCTAGAAATTCAGTCGAGAGATTTTTTTTCATCTGCTTTTCTCTGAAAAATAAGCATTTCAAATTCCATGCTATTTTTCATACCATATTATCAAACAGAGTTCTTTGTCTAAGAAAGGGATCCTGCAAAAGACACTAATTTATCAGTAATCATTTAAAAGCAACATGAATTAAATACAGATTTCCTTGAATTGATTTAATTTCTTTTAATCATTTCATTCTAAACAAGGCAATAAAGTACTAAGATTCAAGGTGTTACTGAGTGTGAGAGAATATGAGAAAGACATTATTAAGGAAAGAGAACAATAAAAGAACAGGAAGAAGAGAGAAGATAACAATTGACATGGCATTTAAATTTTTGATGATCAAGATTAACTGGAAAGCAAGAAGCCAGAAGAGAGTTCCATAAGTAAGAAGTGTGAAAGAATAAACTTTTATCATAGAACTTATGATTACAGTGAACTATTTTAAATGTAAAATGATGAGATCTTGCAGCCAATCTAGTACTGTGCTTAAATTCATAAAGTCAATGTACCAAAGAGGAAAGCTCATCAGAAAAATTACCATGAAAATATTTATAGAATATGCACAGGAAAGCTACGTTATGGAAGTGGGGAAAATGACTGAAGCCTAGATGCCAGGTTAGGGCCAACAACATTGCAGATTCTTCTTTGTGTTTTATTAAGGATCTCTAAATACCAAACCAGATGTGACAGCAATATTCAATGGATGGGCAAATGGTAGACTTATAAAAATCTAAGTTAGGTTCTGGTGAGAAAAATTATCTAGAACAACACAGTTAACCAACATCCCTAGCAGTAGACCTAGCAATTGATTCATAATCATATAATAATTATATTAAAAAGTACATCTTAGCAAATATTAGTTAACTCATCAAGAATATTAATTTCTTGAAGCATTTATATTGTCTGAATGTGATAATTTTAAATGTATATTCACCTATAAAAGATTTTTTTTCTTCAATACTATCATCTTGGAAAGAATGGTGAAAAATGTCTGCCCACATTCCTGATATGTGAAAAATGCTGCAAATGTCACTATTGACTGTCATAGCATTCACTTCACCTATTTTGTGGCATTCTCTTTGAAGAAACTTTTCCAGATTCCTTTTTGTATAACCTTAAATCACCATAATTAACAAGGAATTTCTTTTTCTTTCTTCCAGAAATATTTATATGAATCTCGGCATCGACATGCCATCAACAGGCAACGTGGTCAAGGTGGTGTGTTTATAAGTGGGCCCCGCAAAGATCACCCAGGTGTACACCATTCTCTTAGCCCTGCCAACGGTAGTACTCATATCCAAGCAACAGAAACCAAATACAGAGAAATAGTAGCTGCCACACGTCCCCCAAGCTCCGGACACCCTAGAGACTTGCTAAGTTCACTTGGCACGTAACAGTTCGTAAAAAAGCTATTTCTGAAGAGACATTTTTCACATACAATCTCTACATCAGCAGTATCTATGCAAAAAAAAAAAACAAAAAAAAACGTTGAAACATCTTTTTTGCTTGTCACCAAGGAAAAACAAAAATACTGCCAGCCATTGTTTGGCTATGACAGCTATTTTTACAGATGTAATCTTTCTAGGATCTAGAAAGGCAATGGTCTTTTCCATAACATGCATCACTGCTACCAAAATTGCTTCAGGATGTGCCTGAAGCAGCAGAAACACCATTTTCTCAATAAGGACAACAAAAAAAAATGCAATTTTTTTTTATTTTTTTATTTTTTATTTTTTTTTTTTTTTTACATAAAGGTTTGTCCTAAGTATCAGAAGGTGTGTGGGGTTATTGCAAGTGACAGGAGCAGGGAGCTTCTTTTTTTTTTTTTTCCCCTGTTAATGAATGCTTAAGTATCAAGTTTAATTTTAAACTAAAAATGTAAACTATAAAATGGTACTTTTTCCCCCCCTTATTTTGAACTTTTTGCAAATGACGAAATTATGCAGAAGTAAAGGTTTACTCCGTGTGAAAAGGTTTTCTTTCTGCTCCTACTTCGATTGTCTTTGTTTTGATATATATATATATACACACACACACACACACAGCAGAAATCTGAAAGATGCATTCAGATTGCTGCCTTTAATTTCAAAGAAGCATTGAAGAGTTTAAACAATTGCAATGTCCCCATCTCCTCCAAATAACATCAGCAGCTGGGCTTTGTCATTTCTGATTTGAAAACACTGAAGAGACCCATTCTCAACTATTTTTGCTCAGATCTTTATAATTTTACTTTTTTCTTGGCCATAACTTTTATTTTATTTTTCTAGAAGTTTTTTTTTTTTTTTATAACTGGTAAATTTCCTGTTATTAAAGAGAGATTCTAAATAATTGTGATTTTATAGTTTTATTAAAGATGACTGACAAGTGGTTAAGCTTTTTATTAAATTTTTCATGATTTTGTGCAAGTGTTTTCTTTCCTGTACATAAAGTTTATAAAAATTATCTGAATGTTCTGTATGTCCGAGTGCTTTCATTATTCTTTTATCTATTATCACTGATGTTTTTTTATTTTTAACTGAATGGGTAGATTTTTATGTATGTATCTAGACTTATGGGTATCTGCACATTCAGTTAAAAATAAAAACATCCTTGATAATGACTAGAAGAATAACCGAAAACATTTGGTGATATAGAACATTCAGACAATTTTTACACACTTTATGTCCAGAAAAGAAAAAAAATATATATGAACACAAGAAAAATTAAACAAAAAGTTTAACTGCAGTATCTTGTCAGTTGTCTTTAATGAAAATTGTATAAAAGAAAATACACACATATATAATGTGTGTGTGTACGCGCACACTATACATACAAATTCTGTAAATATAACAAAATCTTTCGTTCTTTCTCTAAGCAAAATGTTTCCATAGAGTTACTCTTAATTACCTCTCTTCTCAAAACACTTGGTTTATCATAAAACTAAAAATTATAATTCTATCCATATTTTTCAACTTCATCTTCACTTTGTTGCCCAGCAAAGAATGAGCTGCAAATTGTCAGGCCAGAAAAGAAACTGTCAGGATTTCTTAACATTGAAAATTGATTTAAAAAAAAAAAAAAAAAAAATCTAAAGAATTCTAATTGTGTTCTTTTTGTAACAAAAGCATTTATTGCTACCTATCCAACTTTTAAAAGAAGTTGATCTGAAAGAATCACATATGCAACAATTTACCAACACATCTTACAAGACAGCATTCCATTGTTGGCTGAACTCTACACTTTCTGCATCTCCTATCACTCCTGGATAAACAAGACATTGACAAATGAAACAAAAGTTTGTCTCACAATATAAAATTGGTGGCCATATTGGCTTCATTTAAAAAAAAGAAAAAACAAAAACAAACTTGTCTTCGAAAAATAAAAAATCCAAAAATCATTGAAAGTTGGATTTTTGCATTTATAATCATTAATTTTCTAATTGGTATTTTAATCTACAAGTCATTCATTATTAATTTATTATTTAAGAAAAGAATGATTATTGTCAGAAATTTCGACAATTAAGCAATGCTCTTTGGTGAGTAAACAAATGGGAAATTATCATTCCCCCCTCTAAAAATAAAGAACCTCCTCCACCATTGTCATCAACTCGTAAAATTTGTTATCTCAAAAAACAGACTAAGAGAAGCAAGTTTAATGCAGGTGTGTATAATTTACGCCAGAATTACAATAGAAAAAGCAGCTGTAATTTGCTTCTGTTTTGAGGCAAATTAGTACAAGCAGAGGTTACTAGGTTCATTAGGAAAGTGAGATAACTTTGGAACTAACCGGGTAACTTTTATGGATAATCTTGGCAGTTTTTTCATATTTAACTGAGTCAAATCTGGCAGTAGGACATCCACTGAAAATCAAACTTATGAGGAAATGTATAAGTAACTTGTTACACAATGCTCAATGGGAGGCAACAAGCAAATTCATAGAGATAAATAACATTCAATAAATGTTCATTGCTTTTTATTCCTTCCTAATAGAATTTGGTTTTTCTTTTATCACTTGAAATCAATAGAATTGTAGACAAAAATTTCATTAGAAGTTGAGACCAAGTAGTTTCAAGTTTATATGCAAGTGACAAGTTTCAAATTTAACCTATGCTGTTTCTTCAGTCATTTTAATCAGGGATCTTGTCACTGAAATGACACATTAGTTTTCAGATTAATCAGTTGAGTGCAAAAAATCTGTCATTTTTTGCTAGCAATGAAAACAGATCAGGATTAAAAGTAGAATAAGATAAAGTAACATTGTGAATAAGACAGCCACCTGAAAAAATAACACACTAACTCCCTCAGCATCTGAATATGGAGAATTTTGGAAATTTCCCAAAAAACTTAAATGGAAGATTTTGGAAGTCAGGATAGGCATCAATTACTTCACTGTCATTCTAACACATATGCATCTTGGGGTATATCCTTTATTTCCTCAGCTTATAACCACTTCACACCGAAACACTAGTTCCTGTACAATCACTGAAGTTAAACAATATCAAGCCTGGTCAGTACCTAGATGAGTGACCACTTGGGAATACCATGTGCATTTAGGCTTGAATGCACATGTGGTATCATGGATAAAGACTCTGAATGAGAAATCAGAGAGCTAAGTTTCAGTTTATAATGACTTACATGCAAATACCTCTTGGGAAAGGTATGAAGCCAAAACTTCTCCCCTCAGATATGGGTTAATTAGTAGGACTTGTATCGCTAAATTATTATTGCAAAAAATAATTCTTCCAATCTAAAAATATTTTCTGGCTTTAAATAACCTGCAAAAAGTTTGAAAGCCATAAAAAATGAATGAATGAATCAATCAATCTTTATTTCCTTGAACACACATCCATTCCATTTTATTTAAGGCAATATAAATCAATGACAACAGATTTTATTATTTTCTAGTTCTTTATAGTTCTATCAAATTGCTCATAGAGTTAGGGTATAAAATGGAGTGTAAAAGAACTTTTGAAGTTTGTTTTTTTTTTTTGTTTGTTTTTTAAGAAAGGAAAAAAAAAAGAACCTAGAAATAGGTTTTGAATATTGATTTAAAAACAGTAGTCACATAAAATCAAGGGACCAAAATTTCACTTTGAGGGATGTGTTGTAAGTACTAATCTTTGACTTAAACGGTAATGAACAGGTGCATAAGGTATTTGACCAAGAAAGTTATGATAATGGTAATGACACTATTTAGTTATGGTAATTAATTAACAATAGAAATTAAACAAGAAAATACCTTTTTTATGTTAAAAATAAGATCAAGTTACTTTTCTCTAAAATGTGAGAATTGGCATAAATAGTGGACTCAGAAAAAGACCATATGCAAGCTTTTGACAATTGATTAATGATGTTTGTAAAAGTACTGATCAAGAATCTGAAAAAGCGTTTAAGTTATCAGGCAACAGGCCATGTGTTGATCATAAAAATTTTGGCATGAGAAAATATTTTGAAATCATTTGCCGAGTTATTTTTCCAAGAGATCATTGTAAGTACTGGCAAGTTAAGTGGCAATGTGTTGATTATAGAATTTTGGCATGAGAAAATATCTCTGAAGAATTGCCGCTTTGAAGATAAAGAAATTTATTAAGCCAAGGGTTCCTGTAGATGCTAACTTCATGAAGGGACCAGATAGCAAGTGATACTGATGAATGAAACTAAGCTAGCACTTAAAAACTAAACCAGTTGACTTAGAAGACCAGAATTTGCCTAAGAAGCGTAAAAATGGAGAAAAACACACACTCCTGTATATAACAGATGGATAAAAGTTAATTTGTTACATTCAACATACTTGAACCTCTTGGGTTTTTATTTTCTTCTTTTCTTTATGCTTGTGTGATATCACCTCCAGTTTAGACTCATCTTACATTACGGCTCGATGTCTGATTGATCTTGTCTACCTAAGATCAAAATCACAACTTGGGTAGGTTAGACTTGAGATCGAAGCAGTTACTTCGGTAACCAGACATTGGAAGAGAGCTGGGAATAATGGAGCTGGTGTCGAACCAGTTGCAGCTGGTGTGTGTGTGTGTGTTTTTTGGTTTTTGCACTTTTTCCGATGAAGCACATTAATTTGAAAATTCTTGCAAAAATCAAGTGATTATCAGATCTTAATGAAACTTTCAGGACATATTCAGAAATGAATGAAATTATTTTTGAATATTTTTTTTTTAAGAAAATCTTGGTAATTTTTAGGGTATAAACATCCCCAATTTTTACCTAAGGGAAGCTATACATGACAATCTTTAAAAGGTCATGTGATTTAAGTGTCATCTGATGCACTGCAATTTTTTCACTTTTGTTATTCAGTTCTGTTTCATCATTAAAGTCTTTGCAAATCCTGAAAATGTCAAAGTTAAGTTTTAATTATTTTTTTAATTACTATTTGACTAAACATTTTTATTTTATGTATTTTA